CTGCTTGTTTTCCTCGCCACTTTTTTCTCTTCCAATTTTCTCTCCTTTCTCTCCTTTCCTGAAGGCATTTGACGTGGAAATGAGAACTTTGGCCATTCAGCCTATTGCAGAGTTATTAGCCCGCCTCTGGTTTCTGTGTACAGGTGATATTTTGCTTGGCTGCAGTATGGACTCGATCGATTATCTTATAGGGTGGAATCAACATCGATCCCGACCAGTGCAAAAATGATCCGTGACAGGATTGTTCTCAGCGCCCTGTTTTTTTTTACTATTGATCCAGTCCCACTGTGAGGCGATTCAGAGATTTAAAAAGCAGAATGGATGCTATTTTTATTATGTGACTTGGAGACTTTGAGCAGCTCAGAACTGAGTTGCAGCAGAATTGTTTTCACAGCGAAATGTTTGCTTAAATGCTGGTATATTCCAGGGAGGATTTCTGTTTTCCATGGAGTTAGATGGCTCTGTGGAAAACAGGGCTGGGAAGGGTGAGGGGCAAAATTGGCACAGCAAATAATTAAGATTAATTGCTGTGTTTATGCTAACTCTATTTAAAGATGCTGCACCTGGAGTAACTTAATACTCCACACTGCAATGTGTACACTTTAAACTTTAGCTTTTATTTTTACATCTTTTTCACCACACCAACAATTAACCCTTGCATGATGGCAACATACCAAAAACAAGGATGTAGGAGCGAGATATCCTGCTTGCAATTGTGGCTGTCACGGTGTGTGCTCCCAATGTGAAATTCTAAACAAACATAAACAGGACCAAATGTAAATACCAGGTAATAACAGTGGTGACCCGATGACCCAGAAATAGGTGATTATTTATTGCCCAAGAATCCAGCCGGTCCGCACACCCAAGCCCAATTCAGGTTTATAGGGCACCTACATTATAAATAAACTTGCTTTATAAAATCTTACAAAGATTTTTGGCCCAGTCTTTGATACTAAAGAGTTGCACTGCAAAGTGGGAAATGATCATCAACATGAGACACATGAAAGGGAAGACTTTATTAATGTATAATTATTTGAGTGCTTTGAGTCATCCTCTGGATATAAAAGGCATTATATAAATATAAATTGTGTCGTAGAATAGTGAGAATAAAATTTCTGTGTACTCCTAATCAAGCTGTATTTTTGATACTTTAAGCAAAGTATATTGTGCTTGTTTCTGGCCCATTATTCATGTGGATTATCCCAGGATGAGGCACGGTGAAACATTCATTGAAATAAATTGCATCTGAATGAAAATAATTTTGTTTTCATTCCTCCATGTTTTTGAAAGTTTTTTTTTCATGAGCACTAAATCCCATTTAATGCACTAGATAATGTAAGCTCTTGAAGCCGAAAGCAGTTCTATTTATATGTCAAGGAAATTAATTTTACAGTGGTTATGACATTCGATCTGCCTTGTTTTGGCATTGTTTGTTGGAAAGAGTGCTTCACTACAAAAGATGTTAGCATATATAAATATTTTTATTGGGTCGGTAAAATGCTCGTTATATGCATTTTATATGTGAGCAGTTATCATTAATAATGTATAATTTACAAGAATAAATTCTCTGCACTTTATACTGCTAATTTTCACGATGATCTGAAACACTTTAGGCAAATTTAGATCATAAAGTTTGTAAATATTAGAGTAGATAGCAAAGACATAGAGCTGAATGGCCTCTGTGATGTTCCAACACTTCTATAAAATACATGCCTTTGAGGGTAAACCTGAGAAAGATTGGCTAATTCCACAGTCGTCAGGGGAAACAAAAACTAACATTATTTTATGCTGCTATAGCATCACTGCTGAGTCCATGCTTCTTGGAAGCATTTGCACTGGAAAAAAAATGGAAACTCAGCTTCCTCTATTAAGGGGATCCAATTGAATGTGAACACCACGGATTAATATTTCTGTGTGTCACTCACCTTCCCCTGTTTGAAAACCTCTCCCTCTTCCTTCTGTTTCACTCTGTCTGCTGCTCAATCTATCAAAGGACCTATCTTATCCTATGAATTGTATTAGAAAATTTGATTCCATTTCAAAAGTGTTTTGTGTCACCTGGGACCCGATTCAGCTTAGAATAGAGCTGCAGCATTTATTTGATGTAGAGGTAGAAGCTCAGAACCACAGAGTAACCACCACTTAACTACCTCAAATGGTATGCATTGCTTTTCTAGATGTGGTGTCATTCTGCTCAAAGTACTTGTTCATTCTACTGCCACACATTTTGTAAAATCCAATAAATGGCTTGCAAGCAACAACAGCCCTAAAATATTGTGAAATAAACCTCACTGCGACGTGAAGTAATCTGAAGGGTGGGTCATGAATACTTGATGTTACACTGTGGTTTATTTTTCAGTAAAACGCGCTCTCACCATTGTTATGAATGTCATGCAAACTCTGCATGCCCCCTCTTCAATGCTTGCCAGGCTTCATTGGCTCCCAATGAATCAACTTTAGCATCCTCACCTTCACCTATAAATCCTTCCACACCCTAGTACCTCAGTATCTATGTGACCCCGTCCCTCACTCCTCTGCTTGTCCCCTCTGCTTGGCTAACTCAGACTTGCTTAACATCACCTGTCTTGTCCGTGCCATCATTGGTGCCAAGCCTTCAGTCACTGCACCCCAATCTCTGGTCTGCACTCTATCCATCTTTGAATCCTGTCTAATAACTTACCTTTTCAGCTGTGCTTATGGACATCTCCTTCCCCTCGGATCCCTCGCTCGGGGTCTGACTCTGTTTATGTGAAGCACTTTGAGACATTAACCTATATGAAGGACGCTACATAAATGCAAGTAGTTTTTGGCATTGTTATTTTACAGATTTTACATAGACTATATAGCAATGAAATGGACTAATCGGCTTAACTAGTCCTTGCTGGTGTTTATATTCCATGTGAGCCTCTTTCCCACTCCTTCTGTCTCCTTCCCATACACCTTGATCTCCTTGAAACTTCATTTGGACACTGTCCATCACTGGACATATCCATTGAGGGAGGCTGTGGAAAACATTGGGTTTATTAGATTTGTTGTATAAAGGTGTATTATGTGCTTTGTGTAGCACATGTAATGAGAAAATTGCAGATGCCATTAACCATGTAATTAACAACCAATAAAAGGGATTTAAGTATTGTATCAACAAATAAAAAATTTCTTTGGTGTTAAATATATAGTCAACGGTATCTGTAATTTCCTCTGTACACATTTGTTTAGGCATACAGGGTGACCAAAAAAGTTGTGATACCATTACAATGTTAAATAAGTCTCTAAGAAATTATGACTTTTTTTAGATGAAAGGGTAGCTGAAAATTAAGACTTTTTGGTCACCCTGTACATATGCATCTGCACTGTTTGCACAACTTGCTTAAGAAACTCCATTGTAGTCTCCTGCCCATCTGTGCACACAATACCAACTTGATGTTGCAATAAGAAAAACAAGTTAGAAAATAAATTTATAAACATTTATACTTATGCAATTAACAATATAAAAATGTCACCCTATATCTTTTTGTACATGCTTTGTACATTTCTACCTTTAGGATATATTGTTTAGAGTAGACTTTGTCCTTCCTGAGTGCTATTATCTGGTGGTTGGATTTATAATTTCTTTATATTTTACCTCTCAATTCTAATTTTTTACATTCTGTTTTTTTGGACTGCCTATCCTTGTTTAAAAATGTGTCTATTGCTTGGTTATGATTTTTAAAAAAATGTAATTTCAGTGGTGATAAAATCACCTTAGTACGTGACCTATTTCCATCACTATGAAATATAATCAGATCGAAATTGGATGGAACTCTTGACTTTCATGGTTGTTTAATATTATCAGCACTTAGAAGACTGAGGTAGGGGAATGGCATTGGTTGTGTTTTTTTGTTCAATGCTGACAATAGGTGAAAATGAACCTTGCATCAGTTCTGCCAGAAATTACAGAGAGTGAGAGAGAAATAAGAGTAGTCAGGTGCTCAGTTGATTTAGACAAATCCTCACAGAAGCACCTGATTGTGGTTAACATGCCATAAAACTAGTGAAGCATTGAAAGATGATTGCCATTTTACAGAGTCATGGTGTGCTTGAGACCTGACTTTAAGCGCAAAGAGAAAAAAATCTTTTTAAAAATGCCATTGGCCATATTTAAAAATCTGCCTTTAACTTCGCAATTCATATTTCTGGGAAACTCCAATTGAATCACGTGTATTTCACCTCTTAATCGATATTTACGCCAAGTTGCTGAATCATTTGAATCGCTTCCAAGTCGATGATATTTTAATCTAACAATAAGTTGAGCTTTTTTCCCCAAAAAAATCTTTCGTACCACATTGTTTATAAAGTACAACTGATGGTCTGCCACTTTGCATAAAATTAAATGGAACTGTTTCATTTTACAGTCTTTGTGCTCACTATCCTCTAAAGCGTAATAACTCTTTATACCAGTTTGCCTTGCTGACACTTTCCTTACTTTGAACAATCGCCAAAATATTTCTTCGACCATGACATTGGTAATAATCTAAATAAAATCTAAATTCTCCCATTGCTTATTGTCCAGCACATTCATTGTTAGGTGCTTTGAGACATTCTTTTACATCATGTCAATTGCTTTATAAATATAAATTAGTTGCATCATTGATCTTCAAACATTGCCTTGGGACATCCTCCCGATGTGAAAGGCGCTTTACAAATGTAATTTTGTATTGTATTCCTCTCTTTCTCCTCCCAAGCTCTAAACACTTGTTAATTTGTGCTTGAAGTTAGCAAATTGTCATTGCAATATTCTTTCACTATATATACAATCCAATACAATTTACATTTATATAGTGCCTTTCATATAGAGAGAACATCTCAAAGTGCTTCACACAGTTGGCTAGGCATCTGATCTGCAGATGGTCAGATATAAATGGATGTGTAATGAAAGTACTCTGCTGCGACAATTTAAACAAATTAAAATATCTTTTAAATTTGTTGCTTAATTTTATTTTAATTTTATTTTATTTTTGTAGCCCTCAACGATCTTTGCCAAACATGAATGATGCAGTGGTTTCCCATTCAGTCTTATCCTCCGGAGCACCTACTCCTACTAAAAGGTATGTATGAGGAGGATAATCTTTTGATAATCCTTCTCTGCAACATGTTTTTATCAAAACGTCTCAATATTATCAGGAAACAGAGAAACAGCAACATTTGTTTCAGTTGCCTATAATCAATTACTTTGTGTCAAATACCTTATCAAGCCCAAACTTTTGTTTTAACTTTGTGCTTATTTCTAAAGTACAGAAATCTTTAAATAGCATTTGAGTGTTATAATAAAATCCATCATGGAGTGTGAGGTTAGAATTGGCTGAACCTTTTGCTGGGAATGGTCAACAAGTTAATGCAGAAAGAAAGTTTCAATTGCTCTGTGTACGTCAATCTACATGATTGTATTTGTCTCGTATGCGTTTTTACAGTTTCTTTGGTTGTAATAATTAAAGCACTTTGAGACATCCTCTTGACATGAGAGGCTCTATATAAATATAAATAGTATCGTACTGTAATAAGCGCTCAATTTTATGGCTAAATATTGCTCTCCAGATTTTTTTNACATATAGAGAGCTAAAGAGCAGCAGAGAAATTAAGTGCAGAGAAGTGGTTACATGACAATGCATTTAGCTTTGAAAGTTATGGGATTGTTTACAAGGTGAAGACAGAGAAATAAGGAGATCTTAAGATTTTGTGAAAAAATGAGTTTGAGTAGCGATGGTGTTAGGAGATTTGATGAACGGGTTGCAAATCTTCTTGGTACAAGTATTGGAGGATAAAGTGATGGATGAAGACTGAGATGAATAAATAACCTCACAGGACATATTGTTGTCTCTGCTCCAGTGGTCGAATCTTTGTGGAGGGAAAGAGGCTGTAGTTGAGTAGGGGAGCATAAGAATAAATGAATATCGTAGTGCATTTTAGCTTTCAGGATCAGGGAATATGTCTGCTGAACTTTCCCTCAGGAGATTGAGTGGATGGGTGGTATGCACATCACATTAAGAGTGGACTATTAAAATTAAGAGGTGCAAGCCGTTTGTTAAATGAGTGACAAACTTGAAGGAACCGCTCCTTGGGGAATTGAGAGAAATTAGATCATCATTATTCCATTCAAGAGTATAGATACAATCATGGTTAGTAACCTTGAAAGTCATGCACATTGAAGGTCTATGATCTGAAGGGAAGTAATGAAGGTAGAGTAGAATCATCAACAAAAAATAACTAATGTGGAGAAAGAACAATGTGGAAGGAAAACAGATATAGTGAGAAGAGAACTGCAGAGAAATGGATAAGAATATTGTCTAGAGCGAGTGAGATATTTTCCTAAGGAAATTAGATTATTTAAATGCTTTGAAACACAACCCTGTATGAAGGGTGCTATATAAATCCAAGTTGTTGTTGTCATTATTGATATCGGTTGAGTTCTGGGACCGGGATTTCAATGCAGTCGAGATTTATGCTACCAGGTTTCTGTTCATTTCATTCTATTCATACACTGAAGCTAGTTCTTGATTGATAGCTGCCAGTATTGTTATTGTAGGATTGAATACGGAGGGACGGGCATTGTCTAGGCAAGAAAAGATTGGCCCATTTTGGTCTCTTGGGACAATGGTGGATGGATGCAGGTCGAACATGATTTGAAAGGAAAGGTGCAACGAGCTGGAAGATTGGCAGCAATAGCAGAGAGATGAAGGATTCGCATTTATTTTGCAGGAAATGGAAGAGTGAATCAGAATGAACAGAGAAGCCTTGGGATGTACAGATCACAATAGCACTGTTCAAACCATTGATACATATGATACCTCTTTTCGTCATTGAATTTCATTGTGATTTATCAGTTATTTATTGAAGTCAGGAATTCACTTATTTAAAGCATTTAATATTCGAGTAAATAGTCATTATTATACACTTCTCTCCTGCAAAATTTGTCGATAAATACATAGTCATTACATTGCACAATATAATCCTATGAAGCATTTGGGTGATGTGTGAAATGCAAGGATTATTATTCTATTACTATTAAGTACAGAGATATGGCTCCACGAGTGCCATTTAATTTTCAATACCGCACCCATGTGGGAGTATTGACTGTAAAAATCAAACTATGCTAGCCCAAGAACTAATAATCCTTAAATTTGATTTAGCACCTTTCACCTCAGGAGGACGTCTCAAAGCACTTCACAGGATTTACTGTAAAGTGTAGTGACTGTGAGACCAATTGTAGTCCCTTAACTCGCACCCCAGCTCAGGCAAGAAATATTCAATTGCCGCTCTCTTTCATAATGCATGTTTCAGTGCACTTGTAGCTACAAACCATTGGCCAATGCTGTCAGTGTAAATGAATAATGACCTAATTTAGCACGTACCAGACTCCAGAGACATTCATCTAGGAAGATACAGCTGTCAGACAGAACCTCAAGTACAAAGTCAAGGTCATGGAGTAATGAATATTGGATAATATTATTTGTTCTTTGTTTTTTTGTCAATAATAAAAAAAATTGTAGAGGAAACTAGTAAAAATATATCGCAAACGTTGGCTTGAGAGGCTTTATTACCTCTTTTGAGCATCATATTTTTCAGCCCCCTCTTTGGGCCGCACCCCAATCTTGGCTATCGATTCAAAAAGAGAAGGGAGTTTTTCCCAGTGTCTTGGCTGACAAACCCCCAAATAAAATTGGTCACTCACCTTATGACGGCATGTGGGACATTTCTGTGTGCAAATTGGCTGATGTGTTTCGCCTACAGATTACAGGGTCAATGCACTTTACAATACATCCTGTGAAATTCTTTGAGATATCATCCTGACACAAAGGGCCTTATATCAAATGCAAGGATTATTTATATTATTAATTTCATTTTATGAAAGTAAGCAATCGTATTCCACACACTGATAGATTAGCAGACACTTTCTTTTCTGACGAGGAGGATTCTGTGTGAAACAAATTTACCAATTGGACATATACCTAATTTAAAAAAACATAATTGGAAACAAAATAACACTTAAAAGTTTCCAGTGAGATTTGAAGAAGCCACAATAATGATTATTATTATTATTGTCTTATTATTGTTTGCTTTTTATTTTTAAGTAGCAATGAGGTTCTGCGTCATAATTTCTTCATGTGTGCCTCTCTTGTGATGCAGTTCTTTTGCAGGAAACTAGCTTTCAAATTAGGCTGAAAATATTTGTTTCAAACTTTTATAGGATCTGTCATTCCAAGGCAATGGTCTGAGAGCTAAGACCTTCAGAGATTGCAAGTCTCTGATTTGCTCTTCTTAAATGCACACTGAAGGCTCTGTTAATATATAAGGAATCAAATAAAAAAAGATTTTGTGCATGGAGCTGTAAAGCTGTTTTTGCAACAACATGTTACAATAAATAGTGTACTGTCATTCAAATCTGCTTTTTCCATCTATTGTCCTGACAAAAGCATTCAGTTTGTGATATGCATACGCTGTCATGTAAATCCCCCTTAACTATTCTAATGTGATTGACAATGTCCAAGGTTTCCTAAGAGTACCCTGAATTAAAGGGCTCCTGGACTATAGCAGTAAGATTTATTGCATCTCCCACCTGAATTCATCTCTTAATGCTTTAGATGTCGGTGGATTATTTTGCTGCCTTTTTATAAGAAAGCAATCATTGTATTGAGTGAAAAGAGATCGTCATTTAATGGCATTGTCAGAAAGATCAGATTATTCAAAGAGCAGAAGTCTGAGGGGTAACAAATTCTTCCTGTGACTGATACAGGGAACCGTAAACAGTATAATCGATTCATTTATAATACACTGTATTCCTGAATTGCAACATTAGAGTAGTATTCTGCCTTGTAAGATTGCTTCACAACCTGAAAAAATTATGCTTTTGGAAAACAGTGGTGACATATTTCTATTAGCGACTTGAAGTGTAGGAGTCAGGTAGCCTGCAGGTCCTCCAAAATTAAAGCGGTCTTTAATTCAGTCCAGCATACCCCAAAGAAGATCAGTGTTGAAGCAAGATAAGAAAGAAACAAAGAAACAAAGCATTTCATAGTGCTTGATGTTGAACACCTCAAAATGCTTTTTGTATCTTAAATATCCCATTCAGATACAAATGAAGGAAAGTGAAATGGGTAGCTCAGTTTATTTTGCTTGCTTCATACACCTGCATTTCTAATGAAACAATTATCTTGTTATTTTGTCAACATAAGTTCAGCAGCCTCACCTTTTATGTTCTCTCTCCAGTATGTCAGTTTTCAATTGAAAATCCACTGTGCACACCTATTTGAAAGGTATCATATCACAATACCTATTCACAATTGGCAAGTCTTGAACTATAATTGAATTTCAGTTAGTTTGTAAACTATCAAAAATTTTACTATTGAGGTACCAAAATCATTGGTATTCTGCAAGAGCCATCTATTCAATATCACTGTTGCTTTACAACAACAACCTATGCCCCGAACAACAATAAAGCGCCCCTCACGCAGGGTAGGGTCCCAGAGAACTTGACAGTGGTGGAGCACGACACCAAGCCAGGGGCAGGGGGAGGTGACATAAGCACAAGCGAATAGGAAGATCTTCAGGCACGACCTGAAAATGGGGAAGGAAAGGGCAAAGCAGAGGGATAGTGGAAGAGTGTTGCAGAGTTTCGGGGCATAGTGGCTGAAAGCGCGGCCACCAATAGTGGAACAGAGGGCACGAGGGACATGTAGAAGGTTGGAGGCAGCTGGTTGTGGATTGGGGGTAAGCAGGCCGGAGAGGCAGGGAGGTGTCAGGGCATGAAGGGATTTCAAAACGAGTGTAAGGATCTTGAGATCAATCTAGTCGGCGATAGGGAGTCAGTGGAGGATGGCTAGAACTGATGTAATGGGGTATAGAGTTTAATACATAATTGAACTAAAATTCAACACGAACCAAGCATTACCCAGGACATAATTGTTTCCACTTTATGTCCCATATCTGTTACTCAGCGTTATCATATGGTGCCCCTGCTTCCCCCACAAGGGGCTCAGGAAAGTACTTGAGCCAAACAGATTGGAACAGGAGGTGGCCTTTCAGCCCATCAAGCCTGTTTCAGCAGTTAAAT